CGTGAGCCGGGAAGTAGAGAGGAGGCGCCTGGGGCTGGGGACTTCTTGCCTGTTGAATGGTGGTTTTGTGTCGCTTGGTTTTTTAGGCACCCCGAGGAGCGACTGGTGATGAGTCCACCTCCGGAATCCATGCGGAGCGGGAGAGGAGAATGGCACGGCGCAGCTGAGGAGGGGTATGTTGCCAGAAAGGTCCGCGTTGACCTTTGTGATGCTCATTGCTGTGTGTGGAATAGCTTGTTCCTTCTCTTTTTTTTTTTTTTTTTTTTTTCTTTTTTCCCAGGAGCCTTGTGGGCCAGGAGGGAATCAGATTCCAGCCACACTTGATGGTAGAGGTCTGATTTTTATTATTATAACAGATTTATTTTCTGAAGCATTAAATGAATTTTAAGCTGTGAGGGGAATTGTGGCAACGGCCTAATCGTTGACTTGGGCTTCCTTTCCTCGGGTGGCTTCTCTGCGGGTTGGTTTCGGCTGTCGGGAGGAGTGCCAGAGTTCCCTGATCCGAGCGGTCCTCGATGCGCCGAGGGAATCTCTATGGAGAGGCACCTGGTCCCATGGAGGATGGGAAGGCTGGAGCTGAAATACAGGGAGATGAGAACCCACTTCCCATCCCTGCAGCGGGGTCTTTTTTTTTTTTCGTCTGGCTGTGTGTGTTTTTCTTTTTTTTTTTTTTTTTTCTAATTAAAACTTGTTTTAATTCCTGCGGAGAGAGCGTGGGACTTGAGGAGAAGAGAGGGGCGCACAGAAACTGGAGTTTGGTGTTCTTTCGGAGCGACGGCTCTTGCTCTCTCCTTCCCTCATGCAACCCCAAGTAAGATCCCACCGTACATGCACAATCCCTTCCTACCCTCTCCCACCCATCTCCCCCCACCCTTATCCCTCCCCCCCTCCCCCACTTTAGTTGTTTTTAAATATAATTTAGGAATACTCAAGCTGCTTTGTGGCGCTTGGGGCTTTGAAACACAATGATCACCACTGCGACCTATGGCCTGTAGCAGACACACTGTCACTGTAGTGTGGAGCCGATGGGTTGTTGGCAGGGCGGGGAGGGTGGGGGGTAGTCTTTGTTTTGTTCGTTTTTATCCTTTCTATTTAACACTTTGTTTCTCCTCCCTGTTTTTTTCCTAATTTATTTACCCCTCTTACTGTCTCTCTCTTTTTTTTAATTAAAGAGCAAAACTTTTTATTACTTTGTAATTTAAAAAAAACAAAAAAAAACCTGAAGAACTTTGGGGGGGATTTTGTACTTTTTTCCTGTGTAAATATTGGACTTTTTTGAGCTTTATCGTGGTTGTTAATTTGAAGTAATAAAGTAGAAAATGATAAAGTGACACCAGTATCTGTCGTTTCTTCCTTCCCTGGCATCCTTGCTGGGAGGGACGTCTTAACACACGGGAAGTGCTGTCTTGCGGCCGAACTTGTTCCTGAGTTCCAGGAACGAGTTTAATGAGAATTACTGGAGAAAAAGGCAGTGGGCCGGAGCGCCTAAAAATAAATCTGAGCTGATCTCTGCAGTTGCAGCCTTTGGAAAGGTGAGAGCTATGTGAAATCCGATTCAGGATCTCTCGGTTCCTGGATTTGAGCCCCTGCCATCCCGAGTGTCTGGCCTTCAGGAGGAGGAAGAAGATGGGACCATTCCATGCCGTCAGCTTTGGGTGTGCACTGAGAGTGACAGAGGTGGACCCTGGACTTTGTATTTTCTTCTGTCCTCGGGCTTAAATCAAGGAGGAAGGGGACGGAGAGGGGTGGGAGCAGCAGTAAAGGTGCTGAGCATCTGCCAGGAGCAAATGTGTGAAGTGGCACCTGCTGCGCTGGTGTCTGCGCCGGTGGGGCTGCTTTGGGTTTCTCCTCCTTTGGGTGCCTGGCGCCTCTGGCTGTAAATTACTAAAATTTAATGCTGGTTTATTTCTAAATCACTGCTTCTGTAGCGCTTCCCATGCGTTATGCAGAGGAGAGGCCTGTTCCTTCCAGGCTGCCTAAAAACTTCTTGAAACTGATTTTTTTTTTTTTCAGAAACACCTGCTGGGGATAAGTGGTGGATTTTTGCAAGTTCCTCCCAATCCTCTTCTCTGCCAGCTGAGCAGGAAGAGCTGCTCCTTTCTTTCCAGCTCCTCAGATGAGAGGAGTCGGAGGGGAGGGGAGGGAAGGGAAGAGGAGGGTGGTGTTGGTCCTTGCCTCCATTTTGAGTGCGTTTTGGAGGGGTCAAAGTGAAGCTGGACTTTTTCCTCTTCTAAATCGTGTTTTCGGTGAGGAAGAGGAGCAGTGCTGTTGAGGTGGACGATGACACCCATCTCTGCGTGGTGCCTTTGCTCCACCACCTACGTGGCTGTGGTGGAGCCGGTGGAGCCTTCATCTGGCTGGTTTCAGAAGAGGTCTGTGTCTTTTGGGTAGAAGCTCTCTTTTGTGACGGGAGGGAAGCGCGCCTCCATTTTGGGAGATACAGGGATAGCAGGTCTATCTCTTGCAAAAGCAGAGGTCAAAAACCCCTCTAAAGAAGCAGGAGAGAGTCTTTCCAGGAGGATATCACCACCTCTCGCAGTTTGCTTGTGTGTTGGAGCCTTTTTTTTGGGCTTGGTTTGAGTTTTTTTCTTTTTTAGGGCTTTTTTTTTTTCTTTTTTTTTTTACATTGAAGATGCATTGTTCTGCCTTGAGCGGAGGTACGGCTTTGGTTTCCAACACTTACACGTGTGTTTTTTCTCGGAGTTTTAGGGGAAAAAAACAAACAACAAAGCCTGAGGTAGATGTGGAAACCTGCCCCAGGGAGGGTAATCTTCCCCAGGGCGGTACGGCCCCTTTAAGAGCGGGATGGTTACGTCACCCTGTTCTCCCGCCGCCCCGCCTCCGCCCGCGCGGCCCGGCGCGGGGGAGTGGGCGTGGCCTGGTGTGCCGTGCGCAGGCGCAGAGGGCCGGGCCAGTTTGATTGACTTCTGCTCCAAGCAGTGCTCTCATGCAGATATCACCTAACTCAAGATTTTAGGGAGTTGAACAAAATCAAGTATCCTAAAGCAGCAAAATCACCCATTAGACCTGTCGGTACCACGTGTGAAGCTGGTGGTGGGGGTGGCTCCTGCCAGGAGTTCATTGCCTTCAGATTGGGACCAGCAGGTGCCTCAGGGATCCAGAGCACAGACCCCTGACTTTTGTTTTAAAACAACTAATCCATCATCCAAAAGCGCGTGGTTGCTTCCCAGCCATGCAAGTAACGAGATAACACTGCTAACTAACCCCTATGGGGAAGATGGCATTGTCCCTTATAGAAAATGGGATAAGGCCCCTGAAGCTCTCCAGCCTCACCCAGTCTTTCCCTTTACTTTGGCCAGTGAGGTCTTTTCCTCCTTCCTGATCTCTCCAATCAAGAGTTTGCTCCCATAACCATCCCCTCTCGGCGTTCCCCCCGCCCTCCTTCCCTCCTCCCGCATCCCTACAGTGTGGCCCCCGCATCCTTCCAATCTCCCCACATCCACCACGCATATTCTCCCTGCGTGGCCTCCCTACGACACCCCCACCACCCCGCCCTGCGTTTCCCCACAAGCTCCCAGTGCAGCCACCACAATCCCCCCCTCCACCTCCTGGTGCAGCCCACGCAATTCCTCCCCCACTTCTCCAACTTCGCCCTGCCGCAGCCCACCCAATCTCCCCCTGCATACACACGGGTTGCCACACGCAGCCTCCCTTCCACCCCCCCCAGTGCTGCTGTGCTGCTCAGTGGCATTGGGTGGGTGTCACTATCTGCAGGGATATGTTTGTCCCCATGAGGGCTGGGAGCACAGTAGACCCCAGCAGCGTGGTGGGCACCAGGCTCGCGTTTGCTGTGCTTCCCCTGATTCGGGCTGGATGGACAGCCAGACACCAAATTTGTGACTGGGTGCTGGTGGGGTAGGTGTGCTTTTGTGGAGGAGCCTGTTTCTGTGCCTGTGTGCTCCTCCATCGCAGGCAAGTTATGATCGGTCTTGTTTGGATGCTCACAGTGGCTTGAAATTTCAGTTGCTCCGCGAGGGCTAATTCAGTCTTGGCAGCTGCAACGTGTAGCGGAAAGAAGGCTTTAGGAGAACGTGTGCGTGACTGGGCTCTGGTGGACTGTGATCCAGGAAAGGGACTGGAGTGGTTTCAGGGACAGCTCTGTGAAAGCTGCTTGGAACACCATGAAGCTGTCAAGAGTAGTAGTAGGAGGAGGAGTGGGAAATCTGGAGGAAATACTGAAGATGGTTCCGCCTTATAGAGGGTTTGAAACAGTTCTTGCCACGTAAGGAGCTTGAACAAGAGTAATTATTGAAGACATAGGCTTTCCCAGAGAGAAGACTGTTTGCCTCGGTTTAAGAGAAAAATAGAAGGCATTGATCAATAATAGAGCGAAGGCTAACAGGATGAATAGACATGTCTGTTTCCTATCCTGCAAGAAAAAGACAACAATCGATGAAAATGTAATAAAGCATACATCCCACTAACAAGGACTTGGCTCTTTTAATACAATAGTTAACTGTTCCATTGAACTTGTGT